TTAGAAATTATTTTAAGCATTGGTGAAAGGTGCACTCCGAAATGGTACTCAGAGTCGGTCATCAGAGTTCGTGCTTCCCGAAGCAGAATAACCAGAGGTGTGGTCAGTGTTGTAGGAACTCTCTCCGAATCACCCCAGGGCGGCTTGAGATTAGTCAGGAGTTGTGACCGAGGGATCAGTGATGCAAATATCCCATGACGGGAGAGGGGTCGGAGAAACTCAGGTCTTCTTTCGCGCATGACATTCAAACTCTCTCCATGAATCACGTTCTAATCATAAGAATAAGCGATGACATATATATTCTCGAACGTATCATCCAAAGTAGTGTTTTGCCGCCCTGTTTCACACAGTCATCTATAATCAAGTGTGACTAAGGATAAGCCGCTTTTAGCTATATCCAAGAATATCACGGATCCCGGTTTTTTTACCTCCACACCCCAACAATAGATTCGAGACATTTCCCCTGATTATACGGAACGTGATACTTCACTCCGGCCGTCTGGGAACCTGCGGGTTTAGCCTTGCTCCAAGGCTGCACTGTATGCTGAGCCCATGGGTGTATAGTAATTCTATCCTTCAAAGAGGCAAGTCTTAGATAGGCGGACGGACGCCAGTCTGTTATTTACATTTATTTAGAAATAATCATTTACACTATTATTTTTACCTCATAGACTTGTGCAAGTCTTAGGCGGGTTGAGCGGACGGACATGTTGGATGGGATGGGTCAGATAAGTCTGCCATACAGACCCTGAAGCAAAAATAACCAAGAAAGCCCACGCAAGTCTAGAAAATGTGGCAAGTCTAGATTTCCACAGAAAGTCTCAGGGCTCCTTTTCATTATATTATACAAAATTTTACTATGGGCTTTATTTCTGTAAAACTTGTTCATTTCAGAGACTAGTTGTTAGTCTAGGGTCAGATGTCACGTTAGTATTCTCATGTTCCTCGGTTCCCTCCACATCCACATGACAAAGGCTTGTAGCGTTCAATACACCGCCTACGCCGGTCACATGTGACGTGTGGCGCAACCCGACGCGTACAGATCTATGAGATGGGGATGGGTTGGGCCGGTGGTGCGGGAGGAAAGGTGGAAGGTGATTCGACATTCACAGGAAACAGTTTTCCCAACGAAAGCCATGTAGTCCTTTTTGTGTGAGAATGTGCCTGACAAGATCTTTAAGTCGGTCACTGAAGACCGGCGCCATGTCAGTTCACCTACGATATCTGGTTTACAACAATACAACTATATGTGTTTAGTTTTACACGATATTGATTTCTGCTACAAGCAGACTGTGTGCAGATGAAGTTTGGGAATGACAATGTTCAGTGAAAAACAATCTATGGTCTCTGTAATCTTACACCCAGACCTGCCTTTCGTGATTGTACGCTTCGCCGGGTCTCTTAATAGGGATCTTGTCCCAACAATCGACGCACCTTGCGTTCAACCAGGAAGTGTCTGGGGTAGGATTTCACACTGTTAGCTTCATGCAGGGGGTTTTCATACAGATTTAAAACATCAATCTTTGCTTTGAAAGGAACTGCATTGAAAACATTTTCGTCATAACGTGAAGAGTCGATTAATTATATCTTGTATACAAATTGTGACCATGCATGTCTAGCCCTAGTGGGTTGGGTTTGCTTTTGTGTTTGCACAAAACTCCGAAAGGCCTAGACGGTCTGGAGCCTGGTAGACTCCTCGTCATCCATTACATAGCAGGCGGAGTAGCCTGGTAGACTCCTCGTCATCCATTACATAGCAGGCGGAGTAGCCTGGTAGACTCCTCGTCATCCATTACATAGCAGGCATAGCTCCCATTACATACTCCTTCATCCATTATAGCAGCAGGCGGAGTAGCCTGGTAGACTCCTCGTCATCCATTACATAGCAGGCGGAGTAGCCTGGTAGACTCCTCGTCATCCATTACATAGCAGGCGGAGTAGCCTGGTAGACTCCTCGTCATCCATTACACAGCAGGCGGAGTAGCCTGGTAGACTCCTCGTCATCCATTACATTAGCCTGGTAGACTCCTCGTCATCCATTACATAGCAGGCGGAGTAGCCTGGTAGACTCCTCGTCATCCATTACACAGCAGGCGGAGTAGCCTGGTAGACTCCTCGTCATCCATTACACAGCAGGCGGAGTAGCCTGGTAGACTCCTCGTCATCCATTACATAGCAGGAGTAGCCTGGTAGACTCCTCGTCATCCATTACATAGCAGGCGGAGTAGCCGCCGAGTGGGGATAGCGCTGGATAGTCAAGATGGGTTGGATGATCAGTCCTTCTCAGTGGTCCCAATATTGTGTACATTGTTAAAAACCTGCTTTACTCACTCACTTAATTTGCATTAGGCAAATTAGGCAAACAGTTATCTCCAAACCATCTACAGGGGCGTTCCTTTGTTTTGGATACAACGTCTTGACTGCATTATATGATCATCCGATGATTTCGCGAGTTTCATCCACAACACTCGGAAACCTCTGATTCACATTGATTCGTGACATAGCACAGTGTGAGCACAATGACACAAGTGGCACTCTGCCTGTTAGGATGGCAGTTGTGTTCAGACACAAGTATTTTGACAGGTGAACGATGGACACTAAGATCAACTGACAACAATGGTCTATTCTCCTGCTCACAATGACCTCATCTACGGTATTCACGCGCCTATTGCTTCAGTCTAATTCTCGCAGCTCATGATCAACAAACGGTCTCTCTTGCTCGCTTCATGCTTTCTTTTGGGTTATTTAGAATTGAATTTAACATCAGTATAAATATGTCATTACCATAACTAGGAGTTGGTCAATTAAGTATTTACATATCAATTATTATGTTCAATAAATCTCACCTTTCATGTTTCAGGTCATCTTGTTGCTCATATATCCCTCCCCTCAAATCACATTTCTCGATAGAAACTCTAACATGTAATTTACCAGGATTAGAAATCTGGGATCTGTGTCATGCGGAGTTTCGAAACCGTGGAGTTCTTGTATTTCCAGGGCGACAATGAGTGTAATGCATGAATTCTAACAATATCAGTGTGACAAACATGTGAACATTGTACATCTGAACTGTACAGTGGAGAGGAGTTGAACATTGTACATCTGAACACTGAGACAGTGGAGAAGTTGAACATTGTACATCTGAACTGTACAGTGGAGAGTTGAACATTGTACATCTGAACTGTACAGTGGAAAAGAGGTGAACATTGTACATCGGAACTGTACAGTGGAGAAGAGGTGAACATTGTACATCGGAACTGTACAGTGGAGAAGAGTGAACATTGACTGAGTGGAAGAGGTGAACATTGTGAACTGAACACACATACTGGAGAAGAGAACTGTACAGTGGAGAGGAGGTGAACATTGTACACTGTACAGTGGAGAGGAGTTGAACATTGTACATCTGAACTGTACACAGTGGAGAAGAGTTGAACATTGTGGAGAGAGGAGTTGAACTTTGTACATCTGAACTGTGAACACATCTGACAGTGGAGAGTTGTTGTACAGTGGAGAAGAGGTGAACATTGTACATCTGAACTGTACAGTGGAGAGGAGTTGAACTTTGTACATCTGAACTGTACAGTGGAGAAGAGGTGAACATTGTACATCTGAACTGTACAGTGGAGAGGAGTTGAACATTGTACATCTGAACTGTACAGTGGAGAAGAGTTGAACATTGTACATCTGAACTGTACAGTGGAGAAGAGGAGAAGAACTGTACAGTGAACATTGTACAGTGGAGAGGAGTTGAACATTGTACATCTGAACTGTACAGTGGAGAGAGGTGTACATCTGAACTTTGTGAACATCTGAACACGTACTGAACATTGTACATCTGAACTGTACAATGGAGAAGAGGTAAACATTGTACATCTGAACTGTACAGTGGAGAGGAGGTAAACATTGTACATCTGAACTGTACAGTGGAGAGGAGTTGAACTTTGTACAGTAGAACATGCAGTTCAGTGTAGCGGTGTTGAACATTGTTGACTAGAGCACTGTGTTAAGTAAATCACATTACTCTGAGGCGTAGAAATATATATAGGCACAAAACAAATACATGTACACAACAATATTTCAAACTTAGCGCGATGACTAAGGGAACCAAGCTGATGAAGAAGTCCCTGAGCCATCCACCAATCGCCTGTAGTGAATAGCAGCTACTCCATAAATAATTTACATGGCGTTCGCAGCGAAGCTACATCACATTAGCCGACATCCGACATGTCAACGGTAAGTGCAGCAATGGCGGTGGTGGACAAGGGCGGCGGACGAAGTGGGGTCCACACCACGGATGGGTTGTGGACAAGGGCGGCGGACGAAGTGGGGTCCCCACACGGATGGGTGGTGGACAAAATGCTTCAGATGTTAGTACTGTGCAACTGAGGACCATCAGAACATGCGAGAGGAGGACATGCGAGAACAACTTGACAAAAGGAGGTTCCGCATGGCTGCCCGGAAACTATTTGGCCTCAATGCCTAATCCGGCTCTACAACACGAAACACCACGTGAAGACCTCGCAGACACTTGGACGCTTTGGATCCTACCTCTTTATAACGCTTAATTAGTACACTGGACATAGATTGTATACTCTCTTATAACACTTACTAAATGACTGAACATTTCGCAATCGTGTTGCAATAGCATCGTGTAAGGAACAAACAGTTTGGGATTGAAATCTTCGATGGAACAATAAGTTATTCTTCAGATTGTATTGGCACTCTGGAGGCAGGAAACGTTGGTTTTGAGTGTTAATCCATAACTATGTTCTATTTCAGTACGTTTTTAGTACAGCAGTGTTGAATCCACGTTTATTAAACAATTATCCTTACGACGTCCGAATCGTACATTCGCGTGGTAGTCATATCATACCATCAACATGACACGGGGATTACTGATCTACATGATCTGTGTGCGATATACTCAGCTGCCTTGACTAGGTACCGATAACTACGTCACAAAACAAAACCACGGATTCCATCAGTAACAGATTACTTACCATGGCGAAAGCCGAAATCCCCACCGTCAGTAGAAGAAGTACATGCCCGTCCATAGTGAGACAAGGACTACTCCTGTAGGCGAGAGGTAGAGCCCAACCGTCGAGTTACCTGAGCGGCAACGGGAGACTGGTTTAAGTCACGCCCATGTCAGGAACGCCGGGTACAGGGTGATCTGCCACCCGTGACTGACGTCTTGCACAGTCTCGAGGGGAGCGGTCACATCCCCGGTTGGGTTACTGCAGTGTTTGTACGACTTCATTGTTTATGGCGATGTTCGTTGTCCTGAGTTTCTTCTTGTGATTATGGACGTTCGCCCCATGCACCAGGTCAATATAGTGGTCATGTACAAAATATTCCAAGTCATCTGACTCAGGAGAGCTTGACCGACAAGGAAAGTAAACCACTTAACTATACCTTTTTCTTATAGTTGCTGTTTCATTGTTTATTCATATATGTAACTATAAAGAAAATGAACCAAGTATTCATTGTTGTATTTTTAGTTTCCTGACTTACAATGTGTTTTGCTTCTGCGTGTTGCACAGTGACCGTAGTACTCGTATGCTCACAGAGGTATTACTGTCTGTAGTATGAGTAACACTGTAGTATACTCGGTAACTCCACGTATTTGTTTGATAGAGAGAGTCCGACATTGTTAAAGCTATATGTGTGTTTGTCACATAGTCGCACTCACAGCATTTCTCATGTATGTGATCCGGATGATTTCTATTGTGAAGCTCCATGGACAGTGAAGCAATCAGATCAGGAATGTTGGCCACATAAGGAGATTGAGGTTATTTATATCAAGGGTTTCACAACAGATTACTCTTTTCAAAACTTGTTATCCTGTGGAATTAAGGGTGGTGTGACAGTAGCTCAGTGTCCATGGACGTGTTGACTCTACTCTCCGGTCTAGGACATGAACCACTAGTTCTGTCACGTGCCTGAAGTCTATTCACGAAACTGGTTCAGTAATCAATCGATTTCTCAAAATCGTGGATCGATAAAACATCAATATTTGAACGGTATTATATATGTTCACAGCCCTGACAAACACATGGTGATTAGCTACAATAGTCTTTTTGATCATTTAAGTCAGATTTTTCTTGGAAAGAAAGCGAAATTACGTTGCAAGTGATATAATCGGCCAGGGTGGGTTGGTATGACCTACATACGTGCAAGGCAGTTGGCTGCTGCAGTCGACATCACCCGCTAACAAGTCTTATCAGATGCTGGTGTTGGTGACAATGCTTCATGAAGCTATTATCCGCAATGATTATGATCGGCAATCAGGCTATTTACTATGTGTGTGCTGCTTACTACGGACACCAATACAATAACACCTCGGTGGTCCAATAACACCTCGGTGGTCTAGCGCGATGTATCTAATGAAGCCGTAAGACAGTAAAACTGTAAGGTTTTGCAGTAGCTCGTACATCAGACTTCGTGAGTGGTCTGCCCAACAATATGTTACACCTGGGAATCAAACCTTGGCATCAGATAAAGTTACAGTATGGATTTTTCCCTATTACCCTTCAATCATTGAAAACCCCTTGACATATGGTGCATTGTTACCGAACATGGATAACCCCTGATTTCTGCTGAATTGTTACCGAACATGGATAACTCCTGATTTCTGGTGCATTGTTACCGACAATGCCTGACACAGAGAGTACATAAACTTCCTCTGTCAACAGTCCACGAGGCTTCTTAATCCAAGAGGAGAAAGTTTGCATTATGTATTTCAAATATTTGTTAGGGGAGTCGGGTTTCAGTCTCACGGAGAGTTGCCTGGAAGTTTGTCTCCTCTCTAGCCAGAACCTGCATGACAGCCGGGTTGTAGGTGTTACTGACTTTGCTAGACAGCCGGGTTGTAGGTGTTACTGACTTTGCTAGACAGCCGGGTTGTAGGTGTTACTGACTTTGCTAGACAGCCGGGTTGTAGGTGTTACTGACTTTGCTAGACAGCAGGGGAAAAGGAATATAATTGTGTTAAACAAAGTAAAAAGTTGTTTGACCCTACTGTGTTACATAAGGAAAGGTTTCTAAATCACGTCATGTCATCATGGTCATACTAATATGGCTTGTGTATGCATTCACTATCCCACCAGTTATATGGCTAGGCTACCGGTTATACTGCTATTGCTGGACTACCGGTTATACTGATATGGCTGGACTACCGGTTATACTGATATGGCTATACTACCGGTTATACTGATATGGCTAGTCTCCCGGTTATACTGATATGGCTATACTACCGGTTATACTGATATGGCTATACTACTGGTTATACTGATATGGCTAGACTACCGGTTATACTGATATGGCTAGACTACCGGTTATACTGATATTGCTAGTCTACCGGTTATACTGATATTGCTGGACTACCGGTTATACTGATATTGCTGGACTACCGGTTATACTGATATGGCTAGTCTACTTCTTATACTGATATGGCTAGTCTACCGGTTATACTGATATGGCTAGACTACCGGTTATACTGATATGGCTAGGCTACCGGTTATACTGATATGGCTAGTCTACCGGTTATACTGATATGGCTAGACTACTGGTTATACTGATATGGCTAGACTACCGGTTATACTGATATTGCTGGACTACCGGTTATACTGATATTGCTGGACTACCGGTTATACTGATATGGCTAAACTACTGGTTATACTGATATGGCTAGACTAACGGTTATACTGATATGGCTAGACTACTGGTTATACTGATATGGCTGGACTACCGGTTATACTGATATGGCTAAACTACTGGTTATACTGATATGGCTATACTACCGGTTATACTGATATGGCTGGACTACCGGTTATACTGATATGGGTACTATACTACCGCTGATATGGCTAGTCTACCGGTTATACTGATATGGCTATACTACTGGTTATATACATTATACTGATATGGCTAGACTACTGGTTATACTGATATGGCTATACTACCGGTTATACTGATATTGCTGGACTACTGGTCATACTCATATGGCTAGTCTACCGGTTATACTGATATGGCTATACTACTGGTTATACTGATATGGCTAGACTACTGGTTATACTGATATGGCTATACTACCGGTTATACTGATATGGCTAGACTACTAGACTACCGGTTATACTGATATGGCTAGTCTACCGGTTATACTGATATGGCTAGACTACTGGTTATACTGATATGGCTAGACTACCGGTTATACTGATATGGCTAGACTACTGGTTATACTGATATGGCTAGACTACCGGTTATACTGATATGGCTAGACTACTGGTTATACTGATATGGCTAGACTACCGGTTATACTGATATGGCTAGACTACCGGTTATACTGATATGGCTAGACTACCGGTTATACTGATATGGCTACTGATAGACTACTGGTTATACTGATATGGCTAGACTACTGGTTATACTGATATGGCTAGACTACTGGTTATACTGATATGGCTGGACTACCGGTTATACCATGCTGATATGGCTAGACTACCGGTTATACTGATATGGCTAGACTACCGGTTATACTGATATGGCTAGACTACTGGTTATACTGATATGGCTAGACTACTGGTTATACTGATATGGCTATACTACCGGTTATACTGATATGGCTAGACTACTGGTTATACTGATATGGCTATACTACCAGATATACTGATATGGCTAGACTACCGGTTAAACTGATATGGCTGGACTACCGGTTAAACTGATATGGCTAGACTACCAGATATACTGATATGGCTAGACTACCGGTTATACTGATATGGCTAGACTACTGGTTATACTGATATGGCTAAACTACTGGTTATACTTATATTGCTAGACTACCGGTTATACTGATATTGCTGGTCTACCGGTTAAACTGATATTGGCTGGACTAGCTACGGGTAATACCGCTGATATGGCTAGACTACCGGTTATACTGATATTGCTGGACTACCGGTTATACTGATATTGCTGGACTACCGGTTATACTGATATGGCTGGTCTACCGGTTATACTGATATGGCTGGACTACCGGTTATACTGATATTGCTGGACTACCGGTTATACTGATATTGCGGTTATACTGATATGGCTACCGGTTATACTGATATTGCTGGTCTACCGGTTATACTGATATGGCTGGTCTACCGGTTATACTGATATGGCTGGACTACCGGTTATACTGATATTGCTGGACTACCGGTTATACTGATATTGCTATACCAGATATACTGATCTACCGGTTATACTGATATGGCTAGACTACCGGTTATACTGATATGGCTGGTCTACCGGTTATACTGATATGGCTGGACTACCGGTTATACTGATATGGCTAGTCTACCGGTTATACTGATATGGCTAGTCTACCGGTTATACTGATATTGCTGGTCTACCGGTTAAACTGATATGGCTGGACTACCGGTTATACTGATATTGCTGGACTACCAGTTATACTGATATTGCTAGTCTACCGGTTATACTGATATTGCTAGTATACCGGTTATACTGATATTGCTAGTCTACCGGTTTAAATTGATATGGCTGGACTACCGGTTATACTGATATTGCTAGACCACCTGTTATGCTGATAAGACTAAACTACCTGTTATACTGATATGGCTATACTACCAGTTATACTGATATGGCTAGACTACCTGTTATACTGATATTGCTATACTACCAGTTATGCTGATATGGCTATTCTATCGGTTATACTGATATGGCTAGACTACCAGTTATACTGATATGGCTGGACTACCAGTTATACTGATATGGCTATACTACTGGTTATACTGATATGGCTGGCATGGACTACTGGTTATACTGATATATCTATACTACTGGTTATACTGATATGGCTTAACTACCGGTTATACTGATATTGCTAGACCACCTGTTATGCTGATAAGACTAAACTACCTGTTATACTGATATGGCTATACTACCAGATATACTGATATGGCTATACTACCGGTTATACTGATATGGCTAAACTACCGGTTATACTGGTATTGCTAGACCACCGGTTATACTGATATGGCTTAACTACTGGTTATACTTATATGGCTATACTACCAGTTATGCTGATATGACTATACTATCGGTTATACTGATATGGCTAGACTACCTGTTATACTGATATGGCTATACTGCCAGTTATACTGATATGGTTAGACTACCAGTTATACTGATATGGCTCGACTACCAGTTATACTGATATGGCTATACTACTGGTTATACTGATATGGCTGGACTACTGGTTATACTGATATTGCTAAACTACCGGTTATACTGATATGGCTGGACCACCGGTTATACTGATATGGCTAGACTACCGGTTATACTGATATGGCTAGTCTACCGGTTATACTGATATGGCTAGACTACCGGTTGTACTGATATGGCTAGACTAACGGTTATACTGATATGGCTAGACCACTGGTTGTACTGATATGGCTCGTCTACTGGTTATATTGATATGGCTAGACTACTGGTTATATTGATATGGCTAAAGTACTGGTTATACTGATATGGCTAGTTTACCGGTTATACTGTTATGGTTATACTAGAGGTTATATTGATATGGTTAAAGTACTGGTTATATTGATATGGGTACACTATACTGTCTTTGTCATCTGGTCGTAGTAATTTGAGTCTATGATATTATTTGTCTGTAACTGCTATATTACAATCGCATTATCGTTCCCATTGTGATTCCTAGGTGCCTTTTGTAGAAAACAACCTTGGGGCTTAGGCGATCGTAAGTCCAACACCTCAACATAGACTTAGGACAGTCTTGGCGTTACTGTTTTGTACAAAGCCAACCTGGTCTTTAACACAACAATGATTGTCTACACGTCAATAACATGATGGCGGTCTGCTCTCCCCGACAGTATCCCTGCATTGCTACATAATGCCTGAATCGCTTGTTGAAGCTGCATACGTGCAGAGCTAAAGCGTGTTATGTAGATTTGCAAGCGGGTGCATATACAGCATGTCTCCTGGAGCATTACAACAGCCTTTTGTTATACTGAATCTGAATAGTGACTCAAGTCATTTTCAAGTAAAACATGCAAGTGTAGTCATACGTAAATCTGCCAACATGGACATGATAACAACACCCTCTCCGAGTGTATGTCACAGAATCTGTGGGAAGTAAAAACGTGAGGTTAGCTTAACAAAGGTTCATGTTCTTAATAAGGAGGGAATTAAAACCTTCTCACTTTCATATTTCAACACTCGTATTAACATCAGTCATGTCTTGTGTAGTAACCAGAGCACAACGACTAGGCTCCATGCATGACGACACAGCAAGTATTCACTATCATGACTAGGGTAACCATACCGAGGGATCTGTGTTCACTACAACTTGCCCATAGCCCACCCATGCATAAAGCCATAAGCATTCGGGCATTTACATGAACAACTGCAGAAGCACACAATAAAGTGTGTTGTCATGTCCGGTACAAGACACAATAAAGTGTGTTGTCATGTCCGGTACAAGACACAATAAAGTGTGTTGTCATGTCCGGTACAAGACACAATAAAGTGTGTTGTCATGTCCGGTAAAGACACAATAAAGTGTGTTGTCATGTCCGGTAAAGACACAATAAAGTGTGTTGTCATGTCCGGTACAAGACACAATAAAGTGTGTTGTCATGTCCGGTAAAGACACAATAAAGTGTGTTGTCATGTCCGGTACAAGACACAATAAAGTGTGTTGTCATGTCCGGTACAAGACACAATAAAGTGTGTTGTCATGTCCGGTACAAGACACAATAAAGTGTGTTGTCATGTCCGGTACAAGACACAATAAAGTGTTGTGTGTTGTCATGTGTTGGTACAAGACACAATAAAGTGTGTTGTCATGTCCGGTAAAAGACACAATAAAGTGTGTTGTCATGTCCGGTAAAGACACAATAAAGTGTGTTGTCATGTCCGGTAAAAGACACAATAAAGTGTGTTGTCATGTCCGGTAAAAGACACAATAAAGTGTGTTGTCATGTCCGGTACAAGACACAATAAAGTGTGTTGTCATGTCCGGTACAAGACACAATAAAGTGTGTTATCACACAATAAAGTGTGTTGTCATGTCCGGTACAAGACACAATAAAGTGTGTTGTCATGTCCGGTACAAGACACAATAAAGTGTGTTGTCATGTCCGGTACAAGACACAATAAAGTGTGTTGTCATGTCCGGTACAAGACACAATAAAGTGTGTTGTCATGTCCGGTACAAGACACAATAAAGTGTGTTGTCATGTCCGGTACAAGACACAATAAAGTGTGTTGTCATGTCCGGTACAAGACACAATAAAGTGTGTTGTCATGTCCGGTACAAGACGATCGACATCGTCAGTTGATTATTTCCAGTAAAGCTAGACGATGGTTCCCCGGTCACAATAGGGTATATTCCAAGTCCAGAATTTCTCATGAACAGAGTGTTTCCCGCAACTCGCCCACCGTTGTAGTTGCTATGACAATGTAGGCTTCTATTATTTAACATATTTAAAGACTTGTAAGTGTCAAAATGTACTGACAAACTATGGCCAACTCTAGCCATTCACTACAAGACTGGCAACCATCACAACATTTGAACCAACCGACAAAGTGAGCTTCTGGTCGGTGCTCCCCACACCTTTAAACAAAGTGTTTAGACCCACAGGTCAACAGTGGTCTGTTGCAACACCTTAAGTAGCTCTTGTTACAATTGCCAAACTAAATACACACTAGGGTGAATTAGGAGATAAACGTACTGTCTTTGGAAATGAGATGAATGATAGACCGAATTGATAGTCTCTAAATTTCATTTGAAGCGGAACGGCGTCATGCGACGAAAGAATGACAGTGCTCACCTAACTCAATGATTTGTGTTTTGTGTACATACGACTAACTTGGGATTCCTTGGAAATTGTATTCATCATTTGGGACAGGATTGTGGCCAAGCTATTTTCAAAGTGTACGAACATAGATCACAAGCAGTGACAGCCTTGCGGGAAGCTGACAGAGAGCAGATTTCTTGTGGTTCAGTTTTTGACATGTATGTTTTTAACGATGCAACGGGACATGATGGAGTATGGGTGGCATAAATTTGGTGTTTCGCCTGAACGTTATCTTGCGAATTTCCTATTCTAAACGGAAAAAAATTAACCATTTACCAGGTACGCATATGTTTACTTACGTTTTGCAGCAAATTTTGTATAGATAGGGATGTACTTTACAAGGCTTTCTGATCTATAAGTTAGATATTGTTTGTTTATGTTTGGGGCTGCGCATTGTTATTGAATTTGAATATTTTTGTAATACAAGGTAATGTGATAGTGAGCTCGGTTCCCTAATAATTGTGGAGGAAAAATCATATAACTGTATTTTTCGAGTTTAATAAATGTTTTATAAAAATCTCCATCACGTCTGTTGTGTTCATATCAGCCATGCTGGAGGCCAAGCTGAAGTAGTGCGGCAGTGTTGTATACGTGCTCAGTGAAGCGGTCATGAAATCAGACGCATTTCCAATCCAGGATTGATAGTGTCTAATTTTATTTATTGTCCAATCAAATTCGAGTATTTGACGTAGTCATGGCAGCATTAATGTTGTGTCCTTCTTGTTGTTCAGCGCCTGTGTGGGATTTAGTTTCTGCTGTGTTCAGTGTTTTACATAGTCGCATACCAGAGGTAATGCGACACAGACATGTAGTCCGAGCCGAATTTATCGCCCGTGCACGATTATTACGAGCGTCAGTATCAACATTAGTCGTGTGGCTCATGTCCAGTCGACCACGTTGTCATTTTGAGTATTTATTGGAAACATTTGGCCCAGATAAAATGGAGAGGAAGACGTATCTATCTCTGTCAGATATTCTAGCTTAGATGATGATGAACTGATATCTTCGTCTCAAGCTATTGCCGATGATCAATTGAAATATTGAACAAACTTTATGGATAACAACTTCTTTTATTTTCTTACAGAATCTGTATCGAAACGTCGCACTCACGAAATAAAGGAAGTTGTTATCCATAAAGTTTGCTAAATATTGTACTTCCCAGCTTCTTCAATGCCACTCAAATACGTGATCAATTGAAACTCGACAGCTAGGACTTTTCATCAGAAGGCGACGATGTTATCGCTTCTACCAACTGTGAAGATGACAGTATGAAGATTGCACGTAAGCCCGAAATATGTTCAGGTACATATTGTATGAAGTCAAATATGTTAATAATAACGGAAAATTACCCTCCTGTAAACACTTATCCGTCTACAATAACTTTATCAATTGACTTATGAATGTCTATGAAATTCTTACTGACCACAGCCAGGCTGAGCCCGTTCATTCGTACATGTACACCACGCATTCCTATAACGTATACATACGTACTCGCGCCTTGGCAAGCAAGAAATAACGTGTTGTGAGAAGCGTAGCGCTAAACACTGCTGCATTTATGTTAACAGAACTGTCGGACATGCTATAAATGATTTGTCAGGGGCGTAGATACCATTATAAGAAAAAGCCCGGGCTTACACATGATTGTTGCTAAAAAGGTTGGGCAAGCCCTCAATACTATCTAAATATAAAGTTTTGCAACCTATCGGGCTTACACGAAAAATATGGCTTTCTACGCGCCTGTTTGTCCCATACCTTCTTATTGTACCACTTACCTATCTATATCCTGGGGTTCGAGGTATTTTATTCTTAAGGAATGCTATCGACGACTTTCCAAGATCCTGGGGTTTGAGGTATTTTATTCTTAAGGAATGCTATCGACAACTTTCCAAGATCCTGGGATTCGAGGTATTTTATTCTTAAGGAATGCTATCGACGACTTTCCAAGATCCTGGGATTCAAGGTATTTTATTCTTACGGAATGCTATCGACGACTTTCCAAGATATAAACTCTCTATCAGCAACTTCAGCAAATCAGCAAAACTATTTTGGTCTATGTGAAGCAAACAAAATGTTTCTAGCATTTATTTATTATTATAAAGTATTTATTAGATTTGTAACAAAAGGAGAGAAAATAAAATTGAAAGTAATTCTTTCAATATTCCTGCTAATCTGTATTTCATATCCTAATTATATGTTCTTTCTTCACTAGACCGGTTTGCTCATCCTAAAACGGATGAAGAGATGATCGCCTTGGACAGAAAAGCATTTCACAAAATAGAGATAAGAGTATGAAATGGGCATGCAGACTTTCTGAAGAGTGGAGAGATGCCCGAAACAATAAGATAATTAGTGGAGCTTTCAAGGAACAGAGATTCAGCGTGATTGATATTAAACTTGGGGACTTCCATGACGATGAACTTTTGTCTTTACAGATATATTTGGGAAGCTGGAAGAGCTGATGGGAAGAAGTATCCGCCTAAAACTCTACGCCAATTGATTTTGCTGATACAGATGCACCTAAACAACATTGGACGACATGTCAGCTTGTGTGGAAACACACTGGACAGTGCATTGAAGTCGGGGGCTAGTGCAGGGTTAGGTTTAATTCAAAGGAAGGAAATCAATTTTGGAACAAGAAGGTAAGCTGTATCAAATGGGTTTG